ATATATACATATACAATGGAATATTATTCAGCCTTTAGAAAGAAGAAAATCTTGACGTTTGCGACAACCTGGATGAACCTGGAGGACATTATGCTACGTGAAATAAGCCAGACACAGAAAGACAAATACTGCCCGATCTCACTTATATGTGGAATCTAATATAGTCCAAATTCACAGAAGCAGAGAGCACAATGCTGGTTGCCAGGAGTTGGTGGGGACGGGGAATAGGGAGACACTGGTCAAGAGTACAAAATTTCAGTTTTGCAAGATGAGTAAGTGCTGGAGATCTAATGTGCAGCTATAGTTAATGATACTATTTTGTATACTTCAAATTGCTGAGAGGGTAGATCTTAAGTGTTCTCACCACCAAACAAACAAAAAAAACCAATGGTAACCATGTGAAGTAATAGGTATGTTAATTAGCTTAATTGTGGCAATTATTTTATAATGTATACATATACCAAAACATTGTCATACACCTTAAATAATATACAATTTTTGCCAGTTATACCTCAGTAAAGATGGGGAGAAAATCATCAGTATAAGAAAAACATTTTTTTCTTCCATTCTTCACTTTCTTCCTTTCTTCTTCCATGCTTTCTTTCCTTTCCTTCTTCCTTTCCTCCTTCCACAAATAAGTATTGAGCACATTCTCTGTACCAGGTATTGTGCCAGGCACTGGGGATCCAACCATGAACGTGCAGTTGGCCCTTCCCTTCATGGACTTAGAGCTGGGTGGAGGTTCTCTCCTTTCTGCTGATGACTTAAGGCGGCCATGCCATGTGGGTGCTGCTGAGTTACTATTCCAGAATGTTCATCAGGCCCTCAGAGTAGCTTCCTACTCCTTCCCATATTGCCAATCTTTCCCCATCTCACCCATCACCTAACCTTTAATATATTAGTAGAGTCATCCAAAGGTTTTACCTCCCAGGAAACAAAGGATTGCATTTGCAGAGTCAGCTTGCTTTCTTCCATAACACTGGATTAAAGCACCATCTTGTAACACATTATCAGACCTGGTTATTATGTGACCATCAGGTTAATCGTTTTTTCCTGTTCTTGGTACAATTCCTGCTTTTTGCATAATTCTTTGGCTTTTTCACAGTTCCCTGTATACACTCTTCCTTCATTACACCTGAGAGAAATATGTTTATACTTTACGCACAAAATATATTTCACAGAAGAAACAAAGCTGCCAAAAATATTGGCACCTACTTTGAAAATTAATACGAATTTAAATATATTTTATTATGTTTATCCTCCTTTTGTAATATAATTATCTTTTTATATACTTCTTTGAAACTTTCCACTTTGACTCATGGGCTTTTTACAAATATTATAATTAACTGTAATCATTATTCTTTTTTGAAGCTCAAAAGAACCACAACATGGCCAGTGAGAACCCTGTTATGTTGACTTCGTTGTCCAATCAGCAGCATTTTCAATATTTTGGGAAGCATCCTTTTCTTGGGCATTACAGGCCGCTCCTAATTTTTCCCTGCTCGAAGACACGGAATTAGCCGTGCTTCAAAAAGCCTTGGCTTCTTTTTAAGGTTCATAGTAGAATCCAAAATCTGGATGTTGGGCATGCAAGTCACTTTGGTAGTGAGTAAGATCGTTTCCAGCCAGCCTGGTGGTCTAGTGCTTAAGATTTAGCGCTGCTGTGCTCAGGGTCGCTAGCAGTCGGAATCGACACTACACACGAACGACAACAAAGGGTTGTTTCCAGGTGACAATGTTTTTCTTTTTAAGCCCATCACTTTGCATTAAAACTTTCCATTTTTATCCAACTCTAAATTATTTTTGTTCTAAAATAAAAATATACTTCCTTGATATACCCTATACTTCCTTAATTTTTAACCTTTCACCAAATCTATGATGGTAACCTCTTCTCTTTTATAATCTTCATTTGAATCATCTGTCCCCATTCAGAAGTGTCTTCATTGACACAAATTTGTTTGCATTCTTTTTTTGGTCCAAAATAAATTTAGTGCTCAACTGTAAGAAGGATTTTCAGTTAGCTGTTAACATCGATACGTTGGCTATTTATAATATTTATAATAGCCTGTGTTCTGCCTCAATTTTAATCTTTTTTTGGAAGACTCTAGGTAAAAATATGAAATGAACAGTTTAGCATTGTATTCAAATGAAATTTGATAACAAAGCAAATCTGATACAAGTTTAATGAGTTGTGGTAATAAGATAATTAAGCATGGGGCCAGCCCCGTAGCGCAGCGGTTAAGTGCGCACGTTCTGCTTGAGCAGCCTGGGGTTTGCCCATTGGAATCCCGGGTGTGGACCTGGCACCACTTGGCAAGCCATGCTGTGGTAGGCATCCCACATATAAAGTAGAGGAAGATGGGCATGGATGTTAGCTCAGGGCCAATCTTCCTCAGCAAAAAGAGGAGGATGACAGCAGACGTTAGCTCAGGGCTAATCTTGCTCAAAAAAAAAAAAAAAAGATAATTAAGCATGTACGGAAAAAGTTTGCAGAAATGTTGGCAATTATACCCCTGAAGATAGTATGTCAAAGGTTAGATGATGGGAGAGATGGGGAAAGATTGGAAATGGGGAAGGAGCAGGAAGCTTCTCTGGGGGCCCAATAAACATTCTGGAATAGTAACTCAGCAGAACCCACATGGCATGGCCTCCCCAAGTCATCAGCAGAAAGGGGAGGACCTCCACCCAGCTCTAAGTCCATGAGGGGAAGGGCCAACTGCACGTTCATGGTTGGATTCCCAGTGCCTGGCACAACACCTGATACGGAGAAGATGTTCAATACACACTGTGGAAGGAGGAAGAAAGGAAGGGAGTGGATGCCTAATATATAAGGTGTGTTTATATTTCCAATCATTCCAAACAACTGGGTCAATGTATAGCAAAGGCAATACAACCAACTATATAATACTAACTAAGCAAAACTTTAAAAGTACGTAATTTCAGGAAATCCCCTTTGAAAGATATAAGCATGACAAGTGCCACTGATGGAGCAAGTAAAGTTTAATGATTAAAAAGGGCCCAGTTCCACATAGTGTGTGATTCCATTTGTATGAAATGTCCAGTGTAGGCAAATTCATAGAGACAGAAAGTAGGTTGGTGGTTGCCTAGGGCTTGGAGGGGGCGGGAAATGGAGAGTGATTCCTAATGGATTTCCTATTGGAGTGACAAAAATGTTCTAAAATTGATTGTGGTGATGGTGGCACAACTCTGTCAATAGACTAAAAACCTTTGAATTGTGTACTTCAAATGGTGAATGGTATGGTATATGAATTTTATCTCAATAAAGCTACTGTGAAAGAGGAGGGCAGCCTGACCTGTGCCAGCTCAGGTGCAGAAGGTGCCACCAAATTCCCTGCTCCAGTTGGGAATCAATTATAAATAACCTCAACCTACATAAATAACCTACGACCTGGACCAGTTGGAGATAGTCTAGTACAATTACTGTAAATCCAAAAAAATATCAAAATAAATATTACTTATTAGAGTAATTTCATTATAGAGGTAATGAAAAAGAAATTAAATTCACGATTTTAATGTTTTAAAATTAGATTTAAATGTGGTTATAGCCTTTGTGATTATTTTATTTTTGTGTTTCTGTCTGCTATTTGGTGTTAGGATGTTAGAAATGTTCAAGGAATCAGTGTTATTGGATTGATGACTATAATTTCGTTTGTTTAAGGGAATTTAATTAAGTTATGTAGAGATCAATATGACAGACTCCCCAACACTCATTCCACCCTGGGATAATTAGTAAAAGCCAACTAGCAGGCCCATTCTCCTTGCCAGTGATTGGTTGAGGAATGAACATGTGACACAACTCTGGCCAATGAGATGTGAGTAAAAGTTCACTGTGGGGCTTCTGGGAGAGGTTTCTACAGTCCCCAAAAAGAGAAATAAGAGTCCCACTTCCTCCTCTGAACTGTTGTGTCTGGATCTGATAATGTCACTGCAGCAGCCACATTGCTGCAATCATAAAGTTGCTGCCAATACACGGAGAAGGGCAGAACCAACACCACCACAAGGCAGTGGAGCTGGAGCCGGGGGTACCGCGCCCGCAGCCCACCCCACCTCACGGCTTCATGTTATGTGAGATAACATATTTCCTCCTCGGTTAAGCCATTTTCAGTCAGGGCTTTCTGTTATTTTCACCCAAAAGAAATATAATTTGTAGTCAGGACCTAAACGTAAAAATGTAGTTTAAGAAATTTTAATTTTCTAAGTTTTATTAGATAAATAAATTTGAGAAATTGAGCATCAGTTATACTGGAGGTCGCAGAGAGTGTTCCTCTATACACACAGAAGCCGCTGGACTTCAAAGAACCCAGAAACGGTGCAGAGAGGCAAATTTCAAAGACAGATTCCTCCCCTTCATCCTCATATGAGAACCTACTGGTCACATGACACATGTCTTCAACTGTGGCATTAAATATAAACTCAGGGAAGACATATCCGAAGGAATCACAAACACTGATTCCTGCTGGTATCATTGCTGGTGGAGGAAGAGAGGTTAGAGAGCCCAAAGGAACAGAACGCTAGCAGCTGTGCTCTCTTCCAGTGACAAAAGGGGACTTCACAGGCCAAGAGTCCCCAGCTCAAACGCCTTCAGGGCCCAGGCAGTTTCCATACGTGAATGGAACTGAGTGGGAGGGAGACAGTAGGTAACGGTGGTCCCATCTCCAGCGAGCATCTCCGCTCAGCCCCACATGATGTTACCGCAGCGTCAGTGTTGCCAGCTCTTCCCTTTTTCAAGACAAGCCAGAAACTTGGGTCATGTGAAGCTTTAGATTAGGGCAACCAATTCAACTTAAAAAAAATAAAAGCAGGGGCCGCCCGGTGGCGTAGCGGTTAAGAACGCACCTTCCGCTTTGGCAGCCCGGGTTCGCCAGTTCGGATCCCAGGTGCGGACATGGCACCGCTAGACAAACCATGCTGTGGTAGGCGTCCCACATGTCAAGTAGAAGAAGATGGGCATGAATGTTAGCTGAGGGCCAGTCTTCCTCAGCAAAAAGAGGAGGATTGGCAGCAGTTAGCTCAGGGTTAATATTCCTCAACAAAAAATAAAATAAAAGCAAAACAGTGTGGAGCCAAATAGAACACATCCACAGGCTGTGTGCGGTCCACCGGCTGCCAGTTTGCAATCTCGGCCCATAGGCTTAAAGCAAGTCCACAGAGTGGGCATATGTGAGAGTCGAGATGTCTGCCCTGTGCCGCCAGGCAGCGCAAACCTTTCCCTCTCACAGGACCTTCTGAGACACTTAGATTCTGGACCACACAGCTAAAAAGGTGTGATTCATAGTAATAGTCTCGCAAGAAGGATTAGCTGCAAAATGCGTCTGCGTAGTTGAATGAAATGATCTGTTGCATGGGGCTGATTACTGTCATCCGTTTCAATGTCAAAGACTGACACACAATTTTCATTTCAATCCTTGCCACGGCCAAGCTGCATATCAGTGATTAGCCACCAATGTGATCAGTTCTCCTGAACTCCTTTGCTGTGTTCCCAGGCTTTATAAATTAGCATCAGTCATTCACTTGCAACTGAAAAAAATAAGAGAGGGAAAGACACTGAGACCACTATTCCAAATGAGACGAGTCTCAAGAGAGTCTTGTCACAGCTCTCTGGAGCGTCCCAGCATAGCTCAGGGGTCACACTACAAATACTCCCTGGTTTCTTGAAGATAAGAGTAAACTTAAGGCCCATGAATGCCTGTGACTCATAGAAAAATCTGCTCATTTTCATGGGTCTATTTGTGTGTTATTTAAAAAGAGTGTGATATGACACATTGTAGCAGGAGGAACTGAGGTTAGATATTAAGAACAATTTCCTCACAAACAGATTGTGAAACATGAGAGCAGGTTACAAATGAGGAAGTGGAGGTGCCATCTTTGCAGGACTTTTCCGATAGCATTTGCCTGATGCTGTTGGTCAGATGCTATCACTGTGAGGTGGGAGGGTGGCGTTTGTGTGATGTGTCTACTCCAGCCTGCTCTTCACTCTTAAGCAGAGCTGCCATTTACAAAGGGTCAACCTGCTCACTGTCCTAGGTCCTTTATCTTATCAAATCCTCATAGAAACCCAATAGGATAAATTATGCCCATTTTACAGATGAGGAAACTGAGCCTCAGAGAGTTGAATAACTTGCTCAACTTCACCCTGTTATTAAATGGCAGAGCTGGGATTAGAACCCACCTTTGTGTGGCTTCCGAGTCCAGGCCCTTTCTATAAGACCGTGCTGCTGCAGGTCCCTGGGCAGAGCGCCTGTGGCTACCTGTAGGAAACGCAAGGACAGCATGACCCAAAAAAGTTGTGAGAGCAATGCTGAGGCCCGAAGAGGAAGCCAGAGTCGGGAAGAGAGATAAGATGCCAACTAGGCAAGAGATAGAGACCTGAAGGGGAGGCAAGGTCAGAACCTGGAAGTCAAGGGATATCCTTCCAGAAATGAGTCTGCACTGACTTGGGCAGTCCAGGAAGTGAAGATAGTGAACAGGGAGTTTCTTCCCAGCAGCAGTCAGCTTGTGCTGCTGAGCCTGCCAAGCACCAGGCTGGGAGCTGCTGATCCGCCCAGCTCAGATTTTCCTTTGGTGACTCCTGATCTGCTAACAATGCCCCTGGACATTCTCATTCCTACGCCCTCCCTCCCCCCACCAGCAATTGTCTGAGGTACTGGAGCTGAAACACTGTTTCCAACAATGACTGTGCAACTTAGTAGAGCGCTTGTGTGCCTGTTCAGAATACCTGTAATCATGTAACTTTCCTTCCCTGAAAAGGTGTCCCTGTTGTTTCTGCCCTGCTGGGGGCGGAGGTTCCTGGAATAGCATCATTGCCACAACATAATAGAAGGCAGGTTGAAAACTAGTGAGTCTGCACAGCCCGATGGACTACAGGTATCTTAAGCCACATAGCCTTTTCTACTTAACACTTGTGGCTGAAGAGTGAGTGTCTCTGTTGCAAATCAGCCAAAAAGCAGCTCCAGGACAGCTCTGGAGCAGGGCTACCTGCAGACCATTTCAAGAGGTGATCTGAGTCCTGTATTCCCTCTTTTACGCGCTCGGTTTCCCAAACTCCAGTTGGTCCCAGCAGCTCCAGACTCTGTTCAGATAGGAAATCTGAGGAAATGAACACAACCGCAGAGAGAGGGGAGAACAGACACCGGGCCGAGCTTCCAGCTTTTCGACTAGAATTCATATGCAGTTCTTTCAATTAAACTCAAAACTTCCTGGAAGCTCAGGCCTCGAGGATCAAGAGGGAACCCCACACCTGTCAGTGCCTTTGGGAGGTTCTTTCATTCAGTCTGTGCCTTCCTGAAGCCCCCTTCTCTGTAACAAGGACAGGGAGAGAAAAACAAAGCAGATGGTGAATAAACAAACGGATCAGAAGGACTTTTCTTTTCTCTGTCTGGTCTTCGCCTGGCCAGGTCAATAAATCAATGCAAGGGCACCTCTTCCTGAAATGATCTTGCCCCGCCCTCCACCATGAAAAACGCCAGAGCCGACTTATCTGTGACCCCAGGGAAAGGTTAAAGTTCTCCGCAGTCTTCTGAGAGTTTGGCCCAGGGATTCACAGAATTCTGGGAACGCTTTGGATTTTAGGTTCATTCCCTTATTCCACAATCATTTATTGGATATGTCCTATTATCTAGGTGCTCAGTCAGAAGTGGTGGAGCGCTCCAGAGACGACTAGAGCAAAGTCCCTAATCTCTAGCTGCTCGGGGCGTGGTAGGGGAGATAAAGCATGAACCAGACGACTGTAGAGAGAAGGAAGAAAGTGCTACGTGTCACGAGAGAAACATAACCGAACAGTCATCATCATTTATAGTCGAACAGGACTTTCTGAAGTCAGTTTCCTTATATTTTTTCATTTGGTCCTCAGCACACTTGGGGTGGACATCTGCAGTTTTTCTTGCCCAGCATCCTCTCAGTTCGCATCCCACACGCTGCAGTCAGGGCTCCACCCCAGGGTCTAAGGTAGGACAAGTCTCCTGGGCTCCAGCCAACCCAAGCATCAAATTCTCCTGGCCATAGTGACCACCTCAGGGACAGGAACATGACCCAATGAGAGCAACAGGAATTTAGTTGGGCCTTTTTTTTTTTCTTTTCCATTCTTAAAATGTATTTATTTGAAAATAAACTTGTGGGAAAGTTGCACGGATGGTAAACAACTCTTTATCCAGACGTACCTATTAATATTTTGGCCTATTTTCTCTCTCTCTTCTCTGTGATTGGGACTTCTGAGAAAGAGGTCATCAAGCATGTCTGCTGGAGTTGAAGCAGAGAGACTGTACATTCTGGGTTTGCTGCCGGCCATCTTGCCGCTCTTTGAACCTGAGCCCGAAGGTGACAGAGCAAAAGGCAGAACTGAGAGAAGAGACAGAGTCCTTATGATATCATCTTAGTTTTGACGTCACCCACACCTGAAGCTATCTCTGCCCCTAGCCTTTTCATCTATATAAGTCAATAAATTCCCTTTTGTTCGAGGCCAACTTTTGTTAGTTTTTCTGTCACTCAAAACTAAAAGAGTCATGAAAAAGGCTTGAACTCTATGAGGTATTTCCATCTCTGTTTTATATAAGAAAAATTAAAGCTTGGATAGGTCAAAGGAGACAGTTCAGGAGTGGCAGAGCCAGGTCCTGAGCCCACACGTCCTGACAGCAATTTGCAGGTTCAGTCCTTCGCACCGCAGTGGCAGAAATCCAGGGGAAGCACAGGTACCATTAGGCTGGGAGAGTAGCCAGGCTGCAAAGGAGCCTGAGGGGAGCTGGACTTTGGAAGACAGGTTGGATTTGGCTTGCAGTGATGGCGAAAGTATTATGGGCAAAAGGGAGCAGCATATGCAAGTTCACGGATCTGAGAAACTCAGGGGGACATGGACAATAGTAAGTATTTTCGTTCTCAAAAGCATTGGGTGCATAACAGAAGAACAGGAAATAGTTAGCAACATATTTAGGATCAGAATATTTGGGGAACTGGAAATTTATCTTGAAGCTCAGAAATTCCCAAACCTCACTGTATTAAAGATTGGTTTCAAGTGACCAAAACTCAATTTTGGCTAGCTTAGTTGTCCTAGATCTTGGGGATAGGTTTATTGACCCAGGACAGAGGACTCAAAAGAACCTAGCGAGGAGAAAGTGTCCAATTCTTGGCTTTGAGTTCTAAAATAGTATCTGAAACCAGGACAAGCTGATGGAATGGAAGCAGGACTCACCTCTCACACAAAAAGATAGAAATGCTGGATAACTTTTTCATAAGACATATCTGAGATTGAAAGCAAGAAAGGGAAATTTCCAGGTGTCAGAAATCAAAAGGGAAGCCAAAGCTAGCATGGTGAGTAGAATCTGAAGCTAAAACAGGATAGAGAATAGAGATTAGGATGGGATTTTAATGTTGATATAGCAACAGAAGGAGTCCTTGAGCCCTGACAAGACCTGGAGTTGGAACAAAGGTCCTATCTGCTCCCCACAGGAGGATAGAAAAACTGTGTTTACCAGCCTGGGGAAGAAGCAGGAAAACTTGCCATTGGCATGGGCCACAGGGAGAAAGAGAATCATTTAGATAAATTGGAACTCCAAGTCTGTTTCTGCACCAGTGTGGGACCTGAATTCACATTATCCACCAGGTGCAAGCCACAGGATATGGAGCAAAATACAAGTAAATTCAGAGCTGGCCCAGTGGCATAGTGGTTAAGTTCACACACTCTGCTTCAGCAGCCCAGGGTTCACGGGTTCGGATCCTGGGCAGGGACCTAGCACCGCTCATCAAGCCATGCTGTGGCGGCTCCTCATATACAAAGTAAAGGAAGATTGGCACAGATGTTAGCTCCAGGACCATCTTCCTCAAGCAAAAAGAGGAAGATTGGCATCAGATGTTAGCTCAGGGCTGATCTTCCTCACCAAAAAATAAATAAGTTTATACCTAGACAGCGTGATAAAATTGGAGAACATCAATTATAAGAAACAAAAATCTGGGGCTGGCCCTGTGGCCGAGTGGTTAAGTTCGCGTGCTCCGCTGCAGGCGGCCCAGTGTTTCATTGGTTCGAATCCTGGGCACAGACATGGCACTGCTCATCAAACCAAGCTGAGGCAGCGTTCCACATGCCACAACCACAAGGAACCACAACGAAGAATATACAACTATGTACCGGGGGGCTTTGGGGAGAAAAAGGAAAAAAATAAAATCTTAAAAAAAATAAAAGAAAAGAAACAAAAATCTTAAAAGCAACCTATGGAAAAATACGGACTACCTACAAAAGACTGACAAACTATAGCAAGCTACTTGTTGGCTACAATAAATGCCAGAAGACAAAGGAATATCTTACAATTGCTGATCTATTGAGCTGCAAAGGGCAATGAGAATGAGAATCAGGACAGTGCTGGTAACCAAGCAAAGAAAAGAACTGGGCAGTAATGGAGTATTATTTACAATAGCCAAGATGTGGAAACAACCCAAGAGTCCATCGATGGAGGACTGGACAAAGAAAATGTGATATACCATGGAAAATTATTCAGCCATAAAAAAAGGGGAAAACTGCCATTTGCGACAACTTGGATGGACCTTGAGGAAATTATGCTAAGTGACATAAATCAGACAGAGAAAGACAAATACTGTATAAATACTGTATGATATCCCCTATATGTGGGATCTAAAAAGAAAAACCAAACTCATAGATACAGAGAACAGATTGGTGGTTGTCAGAGGTGGGAGGAGGTAGCGGATGGGTGAAGTGGGTGAAGGGTCCAAAGGTACAAACTTCCGGTTATAAGATAAATAAGTCCTGGGCATGTAATGTATCATAGCATGGTGACTATAGTTAACAATACTGTATTGTATATTTGAAAGCTGCTAAGAGAGTAGATCTTAAAAGTTCTTATCACAGGAAAAAACATTGTAAATATGGGTGGTGATGGATGTTAAGGAAAGCTATTGTGCTAATCACTTTGCAATATATACATAGAACAACTCATTATGTTGTATACCTAAAACTAACACAATGTTTTATGTCAACTATATCTCAAAAAAAAAAAAAGAAGAAGAACTAGGCAGTCCTTTATGTCAAAAGCTACTAGGTGGTCAAGTACGATTAGGACAGAGAGACGTCCATTAGATTTGGCAACCTAGAGCTCACCCGTGAATTTGACTAAGTGGTTTCAGTAGAGGGGTGAGGGAGAGAAAGCAGGTGTGAGGAGGCTGAAGTCAACAAGGAAGTAAATTTGTATCTCCAAAACCCCTTGGCTTCAAACACATACCATGACATTTAAAATATGATAATGATTTTTTTAAAAAAGACATAGCTAGACTCGCATATCCCCATGAACCAGAGATGGCATAGAAACACAGTAAGATGAGTGGGCTGAAGTCTCAGGCTTATGGGCTCTAAGTCTGGCAGTTGGACACTGGCAGCTGGGTGAGAGTTCAGCTCCTGTGAGGGTAAAGCGCTCCCCACAATGTGGGGAGCTGAAGGTCACATTTTGAAACCAGAGGCTGACGTGGGCCCCACTGCTTGTTTAAAGAAAAGCTGAAGAAAATAGCTGTCAATCTGCAGACTCTGGCTTCGTTAGAGCCCAGGGAGGTGAGAAACAAAGAGAACACCTGGCTACCAGGAATTGTTAAGCTGTCTGCTGGCCCCATGGCTAGACCCACCATATCCCGAATATCCAGGGGTAGAGAATCATGATCCAAAGCCCTGGCTCTGGGTTGAGGCCCAGTGGGCCAGATGGAGGCATCCCGGGAAGAGGTGAAGGGAAAGTAAGAAAGAGAAAGAAATCAAACAAAAATAAATACTTTCTCACTCAAAAAGAGCTTTTGAACCATAATTCCAAAATATATGAAAGAACCTACTGGTGAGAAACATAGTCTTTGAAATTAACAATCAGATCAGAAATTTTGTCAAATTTCTTCTGGAAATTCATAAAAGTGTATAAAAAGACTTTAAAATAGTTTGTTGAAATGTTCAGAGATGAGTGCACACCTTCCATTTCAAAAGGAAATTTTTAAGCTAAAATGAAATAATGTGAATGATAACCAATTGGAAATCTTTGAAAGGAAAAACATCCTAGTTGAAATCTAAAAGGCCATAAATGAGAGAAACTCTAGATTGAATACAGTCAAAGAGTAGATTAGGGAATTGGAAGAGAAAGCTGAGGAACTCATTCAAAATACAGCACAAGATAAAAAGAAACAGCAGTTAAAAATATGGAGAACAGATAAAAAGGGTTAAATATTTCAAATGTTTAAAATAGGAGTTCTAGAGAAAGAGAATTGAAAGCAATGGTAGAAAAAGCAATATTTTAAGAGAAAATTACTGAGTTTTTTTCTAGAATTGAAGAAAATCCTCAGGACTGAAAGAAATTTATACTCAGCCAAATTATTATTCCAGAGAGTATGTGGCGGGGGGGGCGGATTTCCACATGTAAAAAGTAAGAAATTCCTGCCCTGCACAGGCCCTTACTAAATGAACTACTGGATTTTTATTCTAACATGTATGTTTGTTCACACTAATATCTCTGAAATCATGACGTGTATTACAATCAATTGGCAACTTTTATTTTTAGTTTTGTTTTCCCTTAAAAAAGGGTCTAGTTTTTTGGTTTCTTTTTTTGAGGAACATTAGCCCTGAGCTAACTGCTGCCAATCCTCCTCTTTTTGCTGAGGAAGACTGGCCCTGAGCTAACATCCGTGCCCATCTTCCTCTACTTTATATGTGGGACACCTGCCACAGCATGGCTTGCCAAACAGTGCCGTGTCCACACCCAGGATCCAAACCGGGAACCCCGGGCCGCCAAAGCAGAACATGCACAGTTAACTGCTGTGCCACCGGGCGGGTCCCTGGATTTTTATTTGCTTAGTTTTCTATGTACTTATCTTAATGTATCTTCAAACTTTCCACCAGCTGTGTAAATATTCTCTCAAGTGTATTTGCTCTCATCAGGTAACTGTTGAGTCCATCTCCTTGAAGAAGTCCGCTCTGCAGCCTTCCTCCGACTCGCTCCAGTACGAACTGGTCCCTCTAAGCCTGCGGCATCATCGTCATCTGGAATCCTCGATTCACCATCATTCTGGGGATTTCCTCCGCCGCTATCTTGTGATGAAGACGCCGTCTCCTGGTTCCTATTCTTCCTCTCTCCTGGTGTATCCCCTTGTTTTAGTGAAACAAATTCTCCTCTTGTGTCCTAAGAGTGCACTGGAAGTAACATTTTTTTGAAACTTTGCATGTCTGAAAATATTTTTTTCTACCCTCACTTGATAACTTGGTAGGGTTGGAATTCTAAGTTGAAAATTATTTTTTCCTCTGTATTTTGAAGGCATTTTTCCATTGCCTCCTAGCTTTCCGTGAGAAAGCTGAGAATTCAGATGCGTCCTGATCTTTGAGCCTTTGTAGAAAACTGTTCTTTTTCTCTGAAATGTTTTAGGAACACTCCTTGTCCTGTTCTGGAATTTCTCCATGGAGTACCAATGTTCATTCACTCTGCTAGACTTCTGGTGGGCTCTTTCATGCTTTATGATGGGGCCTTCATTCCAGCTCCAAGTCTCATCAAGGCAAAAGCCTCGTCTCCTGTTGCCATATCAACATTAAAATCCCATCCTGTCCCAGCTTCAGATTCTGCTCACCATACTTGCTTTGGGGTCCTTTTTGGTTTCTGGCACCTGGGAATCTCCCTTTCTTGCTTTCAGGCTGCATTTGTGATATCATCCTGTCTCATGGCTTTAAATATCATCTACACACTGACAACTTGCAAATTCTATATCCACACCAGACCTCTCCAAACCTGCATAGTCAACTGTCCCTTGACATCTCCACTTGTACGTCCAATAGAAATCTCAAACTTAAAATTCCAAACCGGAACTCCAGATAGTCCCCCTAAACCTGCTCCTCCCTCTGTCTTCCGCTTCTCGGTAAATGGCATTCTTCCAGGTGCTCAGCTGAAAACCTCAGAGTTACCCTTGACTCTTCTCTGTCCCACCCCCGCATACAATGCCATCAGCAAATCCTCTCAACTCTACCTTGAACACATATCCAGAAACCAGTGAATTCTCACCATTTCCATTGCTAACACCTGTGCCCAAACCACCGCCTCAATTATTGAAATAGCTTTCAATTCGGTAGTGTCGGACTGTCACTCTGGTGCCCGTAGGGAACTATAAGCTTCTGTATTCATGTCCTCAAGGGGTCCCTCTCCTCAAATCTGGGCTGCCCTGAACCCTACTTTAAAGAAGAGAACATGACAGAATTGACGCTTGCCAGCAATGAGCCTAAGCCTTTACAAGGCCTGGCAGCTTCCATTTGTGCACTTTTGGAAGCCCTGAGCTGCCATATAAGAAGGCTGGCTACTCTGCTGGAGAGGCCACAACAGAGGGAGAGGCTATGAGACCACCTGGAGGTGAACGGAGAAATCCAGCCAACAATAAGAACCAAGCTGTTAGACATATGACCCCGGGGTAGCTGTGGCAGCCAGCCCCCAGCTGCTTGTGAACACATGTGAGTGAAGAAGCCACATGGGGCGTTCCAGGCGCAGCAGAAATTGCTAGCTCTGCTGCGCCTTGTCCGAATTCCTGACCCGAATTCCTGACCCACGGAACCATGAGTAACAGTAAACGTTAGGTGTTTAAGCCTCTAAGTCAGGGGGTAGTTTATTTTGCCACACTATCTAATCTAAACTCCAGTGTCTGCTTCCTCCTTCAGCGGTCGCTTCAGGCTATTCTCCACACAACCACCAAGGGATCTTTTGAAATGTAGGAGAGATCATATCACTCCTCTGCTCAGAATCCTCCAATGCTTCTCCTCTCACTCAGAGTAAAACCAGATATTTACAATGGCCTATAAGGTCCCAGGAGGTGGCCAACTGAGGCCGTGGGCCTAATCCTTGTACTGCGAGAGGAAAGAAGACTTTTACACTTTTTCTTTCTTTCTTTTTTTAAAGATTGGCCCTGAGCTAACATCTGTTGCCAATCTTCTTTTTCTTCTTCTTCTTCTTCTCTCCAAAGTCCCCCAGTACATAGTTGTATATTCTAGTTGTAAGTGCCTCTGGCTGTGCTATGTGAGACCCCACCTCAGCATGGCTTTACGAGCGGTGCCGTGTCTGCACCCGGGATCCGACCCGTGAAACCCCGGGCCAGCGAAATCGGAAGGAGTGAACTTAACCACTTGGCCATGGGGCCGGCCCCAAGGCTTTTACACTTTAAGAGGGTTGTTTAAAAATAAAAAAGAAGAGGAACAATATGCAACAGATACCATATGTGGCTTGCAAAGCTTGAAATATTTACTATCTGGCACCCTACAGAAAAAGTTTGTCAACCTCTGCCCTACACAGTCTGGCCACCTGATGACACTGGGTTCATCTCGTACCCTTGCTTGGTACCCTTGCTCATTCCCCTTGCTCACCTAGCTCCAGGCGGACTGGCCTCCTTATCGTTCTTTGCAGTTTCTTGCAGTTGCTCTAACCAGCCAGGCAGGCTCTTGCCCTGAGGTCTTTGCTCCTGCTATTTTCTCTGCCTGGAATGTGCTTCCTCCAGGTATCTGCCCAGTTAACTCTTTCTCCTCCCTCAGGCCTTTACTCCAATGCACCTTCTCAGTGGGGCCTTATCTGACCAATGTATTTAAAATTACAATCCCCCTGCATCCACTCCCTAACTCTCTCTGCTTTATTTTTCTTTATATCAGGTATCACTATCTAATACATATTTTTTACCTTTTGTTGTCATTGTTCATTTTCTACATTCTCCCACGAGAACGTAAACTCCATGTGGACAGAAACCTTTGTCTGCTTTCTTCACTGACACATTCTCAGTGCCTAGAGCTGTTCCTGGTGCATTGTGGGTGTTCAATATGGATTTCTTGAATGGCCTTATGAGTCATGAAACCCACCACATCCCTCTGTTTTCTATGCAGCACTTGTCACTAGCTGTAAATGCCATAATTAGGCATTTATCTAACTCCATGAGAGTGGGGACCACAGAACAATGCTCAACAAATAAAAGTATCCAGTGTAATGCTTATTCATTAAATAAATACACTTCTCACACATCTTTTAAAATAGTGAATGGGAAGTGAGGAGGTAGATACGAGGTAAGTCAACAACTTCTTTTCTTTTTTTAAAGATTTTGTTTTTCCTTTTTCTCCCTAAAGCCCCACAGTATATAGTTGTATATTTTCAGTTGTCGGGGCCTGCCTAGTGGCGCAGCAGTTAAGTTCGCACATTTTGCTTCGGCGGCCTGGTGTTCACCAGTTCGGATCCCGGGTTTCGGACGTGGTACCACTTGGCAAGCCATGCTGTGGCAGGCATCCCACATATAAAGTAGAGGAAGATGGGCATGGATGTTAGCTCAGGGCCAGTCTTCCTCAGCAAAAAGAGGATGATTGGCAGCAGATGTTAGCTCAGGGCTGATTTTCCTAAAAAAAAAAAAAAGAAGAATATATTTTCAGTTGTGGGTCCTTCTAGTTTCAACATGTGGGATGCCGCCTCAGCATGGCCTGATGAGCAGTGCCGTCTCCACACCCAGGATCCAAACCAGCAAAACCCTGGGCCACTGAAGCGGAGCGTGGAACTTAACCACTCAGCCACGGTGCCAGCCCCTCAACAACTTCTTCAAGATTCTTGCTCTGAATGAAAGTGGAGAGAGAGGACGGTGGCCCGAAGAGGATATAAAGTCAAGAGAGGGTTAAAAATGGAGATATGAGGAATAACCCAGATTGACACATACACTAATAGCATAGGAAAAAGAAGGGGATGAAAGAAGCAGAGTTCTTGGAGAGGTGAGAGCAACGGGATGCAGAGCAGAGGAGGAGAGGTTCGCTGGTGATGGGCAGAGATCTATCCTTCCGCTGAACAGGAGGAAAGAGCAGACTCCAGCAGAGTTGGAGCCTCGTTAGGGGGAAGATGAGGGAGTTGCCTTCTCACGGCTTCTAGTTCCTCACTAAAGAGTGGGAGGGGAGGATGTCTCCTAAAGCCAAGGGGCAGGCAGGGTCTTGGAGGTCTGAGAAGAGAGGACAGATAGAGTGTGGAGAAGGACGGAGACCTGACCAGGGAAATGTGAAAGGATAGCCAGGCAGTTATCGAGGGCCCATCCCCCGACTTGAGGTCTGTAATCACGAATTTAAACAAAAGCAGTCAGCCCGGTCGGTAATTTCTCATAAGCAGCATCCGGATGCTTGGTTGCAGGTGCAGAGAAGACAGCGTTGAGCTCAGTCTGGGCGCTTGTAGCAAAGCAGTGGTTCTCCAGGTGTGGTCTCCAGGGCTGCAGCACCAGAATCATTGAAAACGGTAAGAAATGCAAATTCTCAGGCCTCACCTCAGAGCTCCTGAATCAGAAACTCTACAGGTAGGGCCCCGCGATCTGTGTTTTCACAAGCCCTTCAGATGACTCTGATGCTCGGCCCAGTCAAGTTGGAGCAGCACTGCAATAAAGGAAAAGAAGAACAAGAGAGCTGAGGACACTCACGAGAGGATAATTAAAACGGCAGACTGAAGAGTCTAAATTGGAAAAGAAGGAAAGTGAGGGCATGAGGGGGCTGATCAATTGTGACAAAGTGGTGGAGTCAATGTCTTCGAATATAATAAAGTCACCTGTAGTATGGTGTATTCATTTTCTATGCTGCCATAGCGAATTACCACAAGCTAAGTAGCTAAAGACGACACCCACGGATTATGCGCAGTCCAGAAGTCCAGGAACAGCGTGGCTCACGTGGGGCCTCTGTTCAGAGTCTCATAAAGGCTGAAATCCACGTCTCGGTGGGACCACATTCCTTTCAGGAGTTTCAAGGGATGGGTCTCCCTCCAAGCTCATTCAGGTTGGGGACAGAATTCAGTCACTCGAGGTTGCAGGGCTCAGGACCCATTTCCTTGCTGGCTGCCAGCCAGGAGCCTCTATAGCTTCTTAAAACTGCCGCACTCGTTGTCACATTGTCTCCTCCATCTTCCAACCAGCGATGGCACGCGGAGTCCTCCTTACACTTCCAATCTCTCTGACTTCCCTTCCGCCACATCTCTTCTGCTTTACTCTTTTGATGCATCTCTCTGACTCCAGCCAGAGAAAGTCCTCTGCTTTTAAGGGCTCCTGTGATCAGACTGAGCCCACCTAGGTAATCCAGGATCATCTACCTATTTAAAGTTTGCAACCTTTTTATATCTGCAAAGTCCATTTTGCCACGTGAGAGGACATATCCACGGGTTCCTGGGATCCGAATGTGAACGTCTTTGAGGACCTTTATTCTGCTACCACAGCATGGAGTGACTAGAACAAGCGAGCTGGAGCAATGGAAACGCGAGACTGCAGAGGCGGTGAAGATTCTGGTGGTAAGATGCCAGGTGAATCCGTAGTAGGGAGGAGTACAGGCAATGTCATTGGTGATTAGAAGGTCAGGTACTTGAGAGGCCTGGGTGTTGGCAGGTCATCCACCTGAATGTTGGAGCTCCTGAGAAGAATTGTGCAGTAGGGGTGGAGGGAAAGGCTGTCAGCCGGGAGCTCGTGTTCTCATCAGAAGGTGTTAGGATGACCAACCATCAGAATTACTTGGGGATGGGGCCGGCCCAGTGGTGCAGCAGTTAAGTTCATACGTTCCGCTTCGGCAGCCTGGGGTTCACCAGTTCAGATCCCTGGTGTGGACGTGGCACCGCTTGGCACTCCATGCTGTGGTAGGCGTCCCACATATAAAGTAGAGGAAGATGGGCACGGATGTTAGCTCAGGACCAGTCTTCCTCAGAAAAAGGAGGAGGATTGGCAGCAATGTTAGCTCAGGGCTAATCTTCCTCAAAAAAAAAAAAAAAAAAGAATTACTTGGGGAACTTTATAAACAGGCCTGTCCTGGAGCTCCACTCTAGCAATCCTGAATCATAATCTTTGGGAATGTGACCCAGGCTTCTGGTGATAATCAGATTAGGAGCTACCACCGCAGGCATTGAGAAGCGACCGAAGTCTTTGGTTGGGAAGCTGGTGATCAGAACTGTACTTTAAGACAGTTGCCTTTAAACCGGGCTTTCAAGGCGTACGCAGGCGTAGACAGTTCGAGGGGATCCGTTTAGGGAAATCTTTGACTTCCATATGTGCTTTTGCCTAAAACTGATCTAAGGATGCACCTGCAGGGTATACCATCATGCCTGTTGTCTGTTCCCACCACCCTTTTCCCAGTCCCCATCTCTTTACAAAAGAAAGGTGTCTCCCTCAACCATTCTGAATCTTATCTTGTAAATTGACCCAGGACATTAAAAAAATCATCTCTCTAAACAGGTCACCTGTAGGCTTCATGTCTTCCCCTGTCTTACACATATTTCTAAGTTTGAAACATTACATTGGACATGGGATGATTTGGCACACGTTGGGACATTTCAATTAGATTTATATAGAATTGGAACAAGTAACAATGACAAGTTTTATTCCTTCTTCCATCCCCAGGCAGCTGTGAAAGAATGCATTGCTTTGGAGACAGAATCCTGTGAGAGCAAAGAGCACTTCAGTAGGAAATCCTGAGAGTGGCAGCACCTACACCATCCAGGAGCAAACACAGGACGAGGCTCTCTGCCTCATCTGCCTTATCCAGTTTAGAACTAGAATTCAGGGAATGGCCTGGTGGTGTAGTGGTCCAGTTTGCATGCTCCACTTTGGCGGCCCGGGGTTCACAGGTTCAAATCCTGGGCGTGGACCTAGCACTGCTCATCAAGGCATGCTGTGGAAGTGTCCCATATGACAAATAGAAGAAGGACACAAATTTTAGCTCAGGGCCAATCTTCCTCACACACACACACACACAAAAGAACTAGAATTCAGATGAGATATGTAGGGAAACACAACATGCTTATTGAAATTGAAAAATAAAGCCTGATTGGCTGATTAATTTGATAATATGCTGGTTTTGCCAATTTTCTTTATATGGCAGACATTCCCTTAAATTGAATGAGTTCAAATTTTCAGCTCCATGGTTTTGACAAATACTTAAACCTTATAATAAAGTAAAAGCATTTTATTTAAAAAAATCATATTGTCAAGGCATATTAAAATTAACATTTTTATGTTCCAAATTCTTTCTTAGTATATTGGGTTAAATAAGCTATCTCTATCTGAAAGAATAAAAGAGATAAGTGATATTAATTTGTTAAGTCTTGGGAAAGCTTTTCTTGGTGTGCTTCCCAGAAATTGAAAACTGAACAAGGCTAACTGGGGGACAAATCTCTTTGAAAGTTGGGTGGTTTCCAATTCTTTTGCTTTCAGCAAAACTGAAAATTGAGTCATCAGCTGGTAGATTATTAAAATAATTTATGATAACAGATTTCTATGTGATTTTTGGCATATAACTCAGAGGGGGCTCACATAATTGAGAAAGTCTGCAATAACAGAACTCCTTCCAGGCTCATTTACTTATCCGTCTCCGAGTCCTCAACCAAGGCAGTAGCATCGAGGGGGGAGGGGAGGGGACCATTGTCAGCCATACTGACACTTGCTGGCTTATCTACTTGTCCATGTTTTTATTCCATATTTTCCTTTTAAAAAAACAAGATTAACTTGCTGAAAATCTGAATCCAAATACTGAGGACTCAACTGCAGGGCCTCCGTGATACCGACTAATTTTATCACCCAGCCCCATCTACCACCAATT